CCCCAAAACCCCAAAACCCCAAAACCCCAAAACCCCATTTTCAAATATTCAAAGGTAAATTTTAGTAAATCATGCAAATATTAAACACTTATCTAAATGGGTTTCCATCACCAAATGTATGTCTGTCCTGATTTCTCTTAACATTGGAGAATAGCTGAGTCCTACGAGATATTAGCTGAGGCTTTCTCTTATATTTTATCCCTGTTGCTGTAAAGTTTTGTGCCTTCCTGAGTTCCTCTAAAAAGTCAAAATTAAGTTTACTGATTTGCTCTTCCTCGATTTCTTTCTTCCTTTGTTCTTCAAGCTCTCTCTTTTTACTCTCTTGCTCAACTCTGAACTTGTGGTTCATATGATACATCCTGCTCTTCTCAAGTTGTCTTTCAGTGGAGAGGTTGATCTCTTGAGGCTGAGTTACCTTAGGCTCTGGGAGAACAATTCTTTCTGCTTCTCTCGCTGTGAAATCTCTTGCTTTGAAGATTCTCTTACGGTCTTCATTTAAGAATCTTTGATTTTTCTTTTCATCTAGGTCTAACTTTTTGAATACACCTCTTCTTTCAGTCATGAGTTTGAAGGGTTTACAGTGAATAGCATCTGCTGAGCTTACCCTTATTCCAAACTTGGGAGTCCTAAGATCCTGCTTACCAAATCGTGATCAAAGGTTGGATACTTTCCCATTATTATCTTTAAACCCATTTTTAAAGGCTTTCGGAGCTTCCATAGAGAATCTATTTTCAGGATGAGAACGCTCCCCGCTTAATCCTCTGAATGAGTTATTCTCGCTTTTAGAAATTCTTGGAATCTGAGTGTCAGCCGTGTTGTACTCAAGTCTTCTGACTCTTTCCATATCATTGCTCGATTTGAGGTACCTCTCCTGGTCATTTCTGAGTCTTTCCAGTGTAGTTCCACTCTTTTTGGAATCACGGTTAAACCCAAAAAGTTTGGAGGATGCTTTACTCTTGATAGCAGGGTCTTCAAATATCTTCTTGTTCAGCCCATTTGATCTAAACCCCTGGTTTTCCTTATCTGATTGGGAGGAGCTACTCTGTCTACCAAATTTTCCGCGGAATTTGCTGTCAGGACCGCTTAATGAGTCTCTAGAGTCAGATCGTTCTTTCTCATTTCAGATATTGAACATGTTCTGAGAATTTTGGATTTTTGTGTTTGACCTTAACTCATTGCTGTTGAACCGATTGTTAATTTTAGTCATCAGGTCATTTCCTCTATCGGGTTTGAAGTTCGGCACATTAGATCGCTCATCTGAAGAATTCACACTGCTTTTACTGAAAGATGAGAATCTAGAGGTTGGGTTTGTCACCTTAAATTGCATCTTTGGGCCTGATAATTTGGGTATTTTTGAGTTTCCAAAATGTCCATATTTACTATCTAAAAATAACAAGGAAGTAATACTATTTTTCCCATTTGCATTATTTGAGGGATTGGCCTTATTACCATCTTGTCTTTCCTTGCTCCTAAGCTTGCTATAGGTAGTTCCTGGGCTTTTGAAGAGATTTAGAACACCTAATCTCTGTTGAACTTGGTTGACTCTAAAATAAAAGATGGTAAGTTTGCTTTGAGAAGTCCAAATTTGATTAGAACACTTACTCATTTTCTTTGTTAAGCCAAGGATTTTTATTCCAGTTATTAGCGCTTACAGTAGCTGTTGGCTCATCATCAACTTCCATTTGAGCATCTCTAAATTCTTCGCTAGCTTGTTTTCTACTTCTTTTTCCAAACATTGTGCAAATTTTGCTAAATTTTAAAGAAATTATTTAAAATTCAAATTCAATTTGGAATTCAAATAAAGGGGTTTTGGGGTTTTGGGGTTTTGGGGTTTTGGGGTTTTGGGGTTTTGGGGTTTTGGGG